CTAGTGTTACGAAATTTTTTTCATATATTTATTGAACTCAAAAGTCTACTATTAGAAATGTGTCTAATCGCCAAAAACAGCTACATCCGATATGGCATGAACGAGAGAATATTGAACACCGAGTCCCAGTAATAAAATGTTCATATGTATGTTAAACCAATAAAAATTTTTGAATCACAAATTCCGCCCTAACTTAGATCTAACAAGTCCAAAGTTTTGAAGATTAAATATAAATTTTTTACTAGATAACCTTTAAATTTACCTCATAATCTTGCAAAATGTTAACAGTATCTGGATCCAGACCCAATATAACATTTTCTAGTTCTTCTTTTTGTATACTTAAAGCTCTACATGAAACCTTTTTTAAAGTGTCTTTCTGTGGTACTGTTAACTGGAAGAATTTAATTAACGCCTGTAAACCCACAACTGTATCTTGCGTTGATTTGAAACCTCCTCGAACATTACGCTGCTCCAGCAGCCACTTCGCTATAGGCAAATATTGACCAGGTGTGTATAATAAAGCCAATAAAATATAAGATGTAATTTCTATATCAGTTACACGATAATCTGAATTATCCTCCCACCATTGTAATCCATTTGAATTTTTGGCTAGTGGTTTCAGTTTTTCTAATACAAGAGAAGCCTGTTCATGTTTAGCCATTTGAAATGCTGTTGCCATAATGGCCAATGAGTAGATATCATCAATTTCATGTATATTGTTGGATAAAAAGTCAAGAGCTTTTTGCACCACTGTTTTGTGTTTTCTGGCATATTTCTGAAAAGTAAGCAACATATAGAATAGTTGAAAATTGCTTAAAAATTTAATTTACAACTTACCGCATTTTCCAGAAACGCCATTAGTACAAAAGCGGTAAAACCATTACGACTTTGATAGGCTGGATGAAACAGGTACCCAGCAGTTTGAAACTCACCACCGCTCAATTGTTGGGTTGTCAAATAATTCAAACTACTCTCAATGATACTCGATTTGATGGACATATATTTAAGGGCCTTAATAAAGAAACGTAAAACATAAGCTGTCAGCCATTTACTAGGCTGACAACTACGTCCATTACCAAAACCACTATAACCAACATTCGAATGGCGAAATTCCGGCTGAATACTACGTCCATTACCAAAAACACTATAACCACCATTCGAATGGCGAAATTTCAGCTGATTTTGATAACCACATTTTAAATACTTTTTCGCTTTTGCCACTAGTTCAGCATACTTTGAAGTTTGACGTGTGGCACAGAGATATTCCAAAACAAGAATATTTGGAGCAAAATGTATCATGTTCTGTTTACCGCAACCAGTGGGCTTTTCAACTAAAACATCCAAGTTATTCAAGGAAGGCAATAAAACATTACCACTTATTGATAGTAGTAAAAATTCGGAATCGGGTGCTACATTAATCGGCATATTGGTCTCGAAATAGATGTTTACATCTTCTTCTGGTGTCACTGATACATATACCTCTTGATTACGAGCTATAGAAAATCCATCAGGTTCTACAAGTAACTTTTGCAAAACTGCATCAGTTGCTAATTCGTTTTTGGCTTTAATGTGTATATGAATTTCGCCCAGTTTTTGTAGATATATTAGGAAAGTAGCACGTTACCACCTTTGGCTGGAACAATTATATTTCGCTTTTCACTTAAGGAATTGGTGGTCTCATTGCTTGTGTCATCCACAAACTTAAACTGGCTCAAAGAATTTTCCATAATAACTTCAGTTCTTAAAGTTTCTGCGTGATAATTGAAAATAACAATTGGTATGGAAACTATTTCTCCACGTTTTATAGAATACGGCAAATAAGTGCTAATAAAAAATTGCTTAGACGCTGTAATGTTAAACGTAGGATCCATAATACCAATCCCAGTTTCTTCATTTAACGAGAAAGCAGTTAAAACCCAGGTTGTTATAGAGTCGGGTGCGTGAAAGCTCATAGTTTCTGTTGGGGTAGAACTGAAAAGATATACAACCTAAATACTCTGTACATGATGCATAGTATGTATTTTGATCGAAACTTACATTTCAAAATCTTCAAATAACCAAGTTTCCGGGAGATAAGAACGAACATCATATATCATATAAAAAATTTGTGGATATGGATCTGTATAAAGCAAAAATGATATGAAATATACATTAATATAAAATGTGAAGGTGACGTAAATTTTAAATGAATTTCGGAAGGTGGAAATATGTAAGTATATGGAGTTAGGACGTTATAGATCGATACTTTCGTCATTTATTACCAGACATTTATTACATCTATACGATTTTTGTAGAGATACAACAACATTTTATATAATTATGAGCTCAAAAGTCCTATTCGGGAGGAACGGTTGTATGAGGGCTAATATGAACCAATTTTAATCATATTCAATAGGCTTCGTCCTTATGTGCCAAATTTCATCAAATTATCTTGAAAATTGCGAACTGTAACGTGCGCACAAGGATTAAATGGACACACAGACGGACGGACGGAAATAGCTAAATCGAATCAGAAAGTGATTCTGTACCATCTAGTAGTAGTATTCTAAATTAAGCAGTTTTATAGCTTCTGGTTAAAATTACCAATTTGATCTTCGTAGGGTTGACGCCTAGAATATTTTTCTTGATTTGTGAGCTCACTTCTCATTGAAAGAGTTCATGATCTATAAATGGATCTAACTTGGTCATCATTTTACTGAGCCTAGGGAAGATTTTATTTACGACATAGTTCTATAAGAGAGAAACCTCCATACAAGTGCCTAAAGTCACAAATTCTCTTATTATATCCATACCTAACCAGAAATTAACTGACATGTTCCTCATGTACCTTGAATTGTTTTTGAGACTCGACTACTAAAATATGTATATTACCACGCTAGGTAGAAATAAAAGGCTAAATCGGACATTAAAAATGGCTAGAAGGCTTAAAAAATAAGGCGCGCAAGGTAGAAGTCGAAATGTTTAATATGCCAAATTTCAGTAGGACAAATCCTATGGAAAGGGTTAAAATCGGTCTATGATTTCACCTAGCCGCCATACAACTGAACCCTCCCATATCTATACAAGTAAGAAATTATAGTCGGGCGAGGCCGACCATATAATACCCTACACCTTTGACAAAAATATAATGTGATTTAGTTGCCATAATAAAGCATTTAAGTTGAATTGTTAGATATACATACTTAAGCCGTTTATTGTTGAATAAAATTTTGGACATTAAAGTGAAATTTTGATGAAGCCTTTTCATAGGGGCTAGGGTCATATGAGAACCTATTATTATGGAATTCGTGAGTGTCATCAAGTCTTGTATACAACTTGGTTTTTGCAGCATTTTGTCGAGATATGAGTATATTAAACATAATTATGAACTTAGAAGCCCTATTCGGCTTGTTCAGTTGTATGGGGGCAAGGTGAAATAATGGACCGATGTAAACCATTTTCAACAGGCTTCGTCTACGATACCATAAAAGATCATGTGCCAAATTTCATTGAATTATCTCCAAAATTGCGACCTGTAGTTTGATTACAATAGCTAAATCGACTCAGAAAATGATTCCGAGCCGATTGGTATACTTTAAGGTGGGTATAGCACCAATATTATTGTGAGTTACAAACATCAGCACAAACCCAATATACCCTCCCCACTAAAGTGGTGTAGGTAAAACAATCTGAGATTTTTTTCATATTTTTCCTTTATTTTTCACACTCAAGCTACACTTAGGAGATCGTATATTTAACACGAACGATAGAAATGTTGATAATGTATCGGTCGAATTTTTATACGAAAAAGTGAAATCATCACTTTGTGAATAATCAAATTCAAATGTGGTCACTCCTTTGTCATCTAATCTTGCTTCGTAGCACTTAGGACCATGTTTCATAACTACAGTCGTTTCCAGATCTTTAACTATAGTGCCATTCAAATGCTGTACTTTTGCCTTTATTCTGTAAGGTATTTCATTCAGAAATTCAATCTCATCTTCGGATGCAGTAATACTATACTTATGCTTTTGGATATAAATTTTAATGGAAGTGTATTCAGCGATATTTGTTTGGGCTTCCGTTAGCGTAGCGTTAACAATTAGTGCATCCTGTAATCCAATCAAATCTTCTATATCTATAACAAATTTTGCTTTGCCATCAACAATGACAGATGTATTTGAAAACATCCCGTCAAATTCACTTTGTTTTAAGATCAAATTTACTTTTCCCTCTACATATTTGTTGTAGGTATTGATTTTTATAGGCATTGATTTTTATATAACGATCTTCTTCCGCAAAATGTTCATCCATCTCTATGTGAACTATGAATTTAGGCAGTACGTATTTATTAACCTCAAATTCGGCTATCTTTTCTAGAGCATATTTTCCTCCAATAAGGAGTTTTAAAGTCCAGTTGCCTAAATTCGGTTCTGTCGAAATTTGAAAGTTATCGGAATAAAAGCCTTTGTGCAGACGTATGTCTTTAAATTGTTTGACAGGGTTATTAAGCGAATCCTGTAAAATTTGGGGGAATAATTCATATTCACATGTACGTACAGTTTTTGAAATACTTACGAATATTTGTATTTTTATTGGTTCTCTAATCTTCATTGGTTTGGCATTCTCATTCAATATTACAACACGAAAACGTAATAAATCGCCCGGCCGATATGCACCTTTATCTGTTTCAATATAAATTTTTGCAGCTTCCTTATCTCTCACTTGGATTAATTTACTACCCTGATAATCTAAACCCTTTACACCTTCGCAAAATAATGTATAAACTCTAAGTTCATCCAATTTTGGAGGATAAAAATCTAGCATTGTAGTTTCAAGGTTCCGAAGCATTATGAAGTGTAGCACAAACTGTATATTTTGAATAACAATTTTTAAATATTAAAGATAGATTCAATATACTTTACCCATTACATGTAATCAATTTAAGAAAATATAAAATTAAAATCAATTTAAATACACCAAATGGCTGTAACATGTTTACGATTCTAAGAACTGCAGCTTATTAGTTTAAAATTATTAAAATCAAATGAATTTTATTTACACTATTTAATTGAGATCATTACATCTATTTAGATACATATGTATATGTACATATTTATATGTAGATTATAAGATTGAAAAGCTTATCTCGAAGACTACCTTATCTCGTCAATTGAAAAAACATTTGATTTCGCCCTTGGCAAAAATCACCTGTAGATTTGAGTTTCGGATGTATGTTAGATAAGATTCGATGAAATATACCCAAGCCACTATTGGGCTCTCTTTTTCAAAGTCTCTGATGGGGATCGAACACATGACCTCCCTACTGACAGACTAACCTACGGAGGCACACAACTAAAATAAAATTTGTTGAATCGATTAAAGTCAAGATACATATTTATAAGATTTGGTGAAAACATTCTTCTTCCTACAAAATTTGTTTATTTCGATTTTCATCACTATAGCAGCATTTTAATTTTAAGTAGTGATTGTTAAAGTACCATCTTCTTAAAATATGGTAGAGAGATTTTGATATAAATTTTGTTTATTTCGAATTTTTACCACTTCAGTATAATTTTTATGCCAGGAGCAATTTTAAAGTAATTTTATGAAAAGGAGCTTATATTATAGGACCAATTATAGACTGATCCTTGTAAGCATTTGGTAGAAAGTTTTTAGATCCTGTAAAACGAGTTTTTGTTGAATTCCTGTACTGGTATTTTTAAACCAGTTATGACTGTTAACATAGTATTCTGGGGAGGGCACTTCCCTTGGGGATAGTTGAAATCGTTAACCGATACTGCATAAATATAAAATTTGGAAAATTTCAGCTCTCTAGCTATGTACTAGTAATATCCTCCAGTCTGTTGAAAACACTATTAGATGAGCTAAAAGGCTGAGAATTTGAAATCTGAGAAGACCTCTTTTAAAAATCACATTTTTACTCATTTCGAAAAATGACAATGTTTTCATGGTGGGTATTTAAGATACGGACGAATCAAATATAAGAGGAGTTTTTAGTATTTTTCATTATAATCATTCTACAAATCGGAGTGATACTGGTGAAGGCAAATTACCTTGTTTTGAATACATATATCTGGTATCAAAGATAATTTCAACAGTTTTTCAGAACTCCTATTTTATTGTTTTTATACAAAAATATATTTTTTAATAGTAAAAAACTCTATTCTTAATTAAATTTTATTCGAAAATAGGCTCATTCCACTTTTATCAAAATAAACGGTTCATTTATGATCGAAATTAATGGTCGAAGGGCTGGGCTCAATCATAAAGTTCTTTAGAAAATTAGATTTATAAACTGTTTATAAAATATCTTTTTTTAAGAATAAGGCCTTTAAAATTTAATCATTTCTTTTAGACGGGAATTCCCGGAATAGCGGGAAATTTTAAAATTATTCACGTTTCCCGGGAAAAGGAAAACACTAATTATTGCTAGTCCACTTATTCTTCAAGCAAATGTTCCAAATACTTTTACGGATATAAAAGTTGTTCTTGCAAAATTTGGTGGTTTTAGCTCCCACATATGTAAATTTTTTATATTTAACTCATTAAGAGGTGTTAGACCCCCTTTTATTTATCCGGACATTTCCTCTCAAATAGCAATCCATATTATGGATTTCAATGTTGCTCTTGAAAATTTTGAAGAATCTAGCTCTAACAATTTCTCAGATTTACAAATTTTTGCATATATTTCATGTGGGATGTGCATGCTCCCTATTGCTAATTCACTAATTTATTGTCCAAATATTTATGTTTAGGTATGCCAAAATAACTATTGAGGATTTTAGCTCCCTTAAACTCCAGGGGCATGTGTGGGCGTGACACGTCGCCTACTTGAAAGCTTGAAATAAAATGAAGCTTCTTTCAGACATACAGGAATACACTGTCTAGTCGTTTACCCGTCTATAGACTTTAAACAATCACACATTATACCCTACACCACTATAGTGGAGAGGGTATTTTGCGTTTGTGCTGATGTTTGTAACATCCGAAAATATTGATCATAAACTAACCTTAAAGTATACCAGTCGGCATATAATCACTTCCTGAGTTAATCAATCCTGCAGTAAACCTTGTGCGCACGCTACAGGTCGCAATTTTTAAAATAATTTGATGAAATTTCCACAATTGACTTTACTCCCCATATAAGGTCCCACTCAGAAAATTACTTTAACGCTCATTACTGGCGTAAAAATACAAGTATAGCGATGAAATTCGACACAAATAAGTTTCTTACAACACAAAATCTTTCTACCGAATTTTGTGAGAATCGGGTCATAATTTATCCTACCTCTCATATAAGGTCCCCTTCAGAAAATGATTCAATGCTCATTACGAGTATAGCTATGAAATTCGACAGTAAGTATTTTATAAGCTGCCTTCCAAATTTGATGAGGATCGGTTCATAATTGACTATACCTCCTGCTTATGATTTAAAAGTTAGACAAAAATATTTTGTTTTTAAAAAATAATACTACGATAATCCGAAAGGGATGTGTCCATAATTGACATAAGCCCTATTCCAAATATCAACCTGGTGTTTATAGGGGAGCATTCCATTTACGTTATACGGTTTGATGGTGGGTAAATAAAATTTGGCATAGGCGAATAAAATATATATAGATAACACAGTGAGACAAAATATATGAATATTGAATTACGTGGGAAGTAATACTATTTTTCTGAAAGGTGGATCCGAGTAGAACAAGAATATGTTTTTGAAATTCGCCAAACACCTGAAAAATCTTGAGTTACGGTTAAAAAAACGTTGTCGTACCTTTAAGCACTTATAAGTCAGTAACTTAGTTGAATCTGAACCGATTTTAAGTTTCTTCTCGGATTCAGAAAGCAGAAGCTGAGGTCTTTATAATGAAAAGTTAATTTTGTTAATTGAATAAAAAATAAACGATTTATTTGTTATGAGAAATGCAGTTTTCAATTATTAGAACAGTTAATCGAAAAATAAAACAAAGATATCATTAAATTTACTCGTTAATCGATTGAATACCCTTATTATACACATATGCATGCATAACTATATCATGTTGTAGGGCAAAAAAAAAATACCATACACACTGTTGGTTTTTATTTAAAATGCCATCATTTTGATTCTGAGCACGTTCACAAATTAATAAAGAACAAAGATTAATTTTAAATAATAATTTACAAAAAATCCCACTGATAAGACAAATTTTGAAAAAACCCCCATCCATGGGTGATTAATCGTATAATAATTATGAAATTTAGTCGATTTAAGTCGATGTTAACATACTCTTCTACACGCTTATTTAAATATTAGAAAATGGATTTTACTGCCAAATATTTGATTAATGTAAATTAATAATTTTGAAAAATACCCAAAATCAAACATTAATTAGTTCAATAACATACTATATAGTGAAATTGTTAGTTACACTCTACATGTGGTTAAAAGTGACTAACTTAGGTTACAAACTGAATATAAAATTGTATATGCCACAGCAATGTTTAGCTTAATTTGAAAAGGTAATAAATGTTTATATTTTTCGCATTAAATTCTTTTACTCTTATAATAAATAATATATATTTTTTAGTTTGAATTCTAATCGTTTGTCTATAAATGATTTCTTTTTTTTTTTGTCAATTAACATATCGTCACCTGAAATGAAAAACAACGTATTACCAAAAAAAAAAAAAATAAAAATCAACATTTTGATTGATTAACGTTCACTAGATGATAATACATCTTCTTAGATATGTCAACGCCAAAAAATAGCGATTTCATGACAAAAATTCAAAATAACAAACAATATTTTCATAAAGCAAAACCACGCATAGTGGTATAGAAATAAAACAAGTTTGAGTGCTATATTCGGCTGAGCCGAATCTTAAATACCCTCCACCAGCTACTTTTATATTAATACTTTTCTAATTGATCAAATATTTGTAGAAATAAGTCTTCTCATGGCTTAAATAAAAAAATCCCAAGATTTAAACAGCTTAGATCTATTACAATGGGAAGATTTATTGAACATTATAAACGCCATTTTCTTTTATTATATTTTTATAGTGCTTAGCAATATTTAATAATTAATGCACGTGTGTGAAAGATTTAAGGATTTTGAAAATACATACATATATATAATTTTGTTCTACACAAATTGAAATAGTTAAATAAGGTTAAAGCGCTTTTAGGGGCAGTTCCTAGTATGGGATATAAGATCAATTATAGACCGATCGTAAAAAATTCTTTAAGCAAAATTTCTGTACATAAAAGCTATATTTCAGTCAAATTTTGTATCTATATCGTAATTTAGTATAGCTTTATTTGGTAATGAGTAATGTGCGTTTAAGAGATTTTCGTAAAAGGACCTTGTATGGGAGCTATTACCAATTGTGTATATAAAGACAAAATTTCAAAATTCTGTATTTATATCATTATTTGATAATGAATATTGTTCATCTAAGTGATTTTCTGGAGGGGACCTAGTATGAGAGCTATGACCAAATATGGACCGATCGGGAAAAAATTTCACAGTAATATTTCTATGCATATGGGCAATACTTGTACCATATTTTATATGAATATCTTAATTAAGTAATAGGTTATGCGCGTTTAAGTGATTTTCGGGATGGGACCTTGTATGGGAGCTATGACCAATTATGGACCGATCAGAAAAAACTTTAAGAGTAATATTTCTATGCATATGGGCAATACTTATACCAAATTTTATATGGATATCTTTATTTAGTAATGAGTTATGCGCGTTAAAGTGATTTTCCGGAGGGGACCTTGTATGGGAGCTATGACCAATTATGGACCCATCGGAAAAAACTTTCACAGTAATATTTCTATGCATATGGGAAATACTTATACCAAATTTTATATAGATATCTTGATTTAGTAATGAGCTATGCGCGTTTAAGTGATTTTCAGGAGGGGACCTTGTATGGGAGCTATGACCAATTATGGACCGATCGGGAAAAAATTTCACAGTAACATTTCTGTGCATATGAGTAA